TTGATTAGATTTCATCCAGAATGGTAGCTCAGCTGTCAGACCTACTCTAGAAGATTGGATCGAGATGTCTCATATCCATCATACCTTACTCAACAATCATTCAAACAAAATGGAACAAACCGAAACAGATTCTTTGTCTCATCCTGTCGAATAGCCAATCAAGGAAGATGTGATAGCCCCATTGATAGAGAACGCAGGCTCAGATGAAAAGATAGCAAAGAAAGAAGATAGTCAATGAAAGGTAGATGAAGGACCGGCATTGGATCATTTATTCGATAATGACATCAATATGAAGAATGCTCCATTGGATTCAAAAACGCGATTGAAAATCCTGTCTTGTCTCCCACAATGTAGGAATCAATGAATCACTTTTTTGAATCTCGAATTGGCCTACCCATATTGAATCTCCTCGTGTTTGAGTCTCAAATAGCTGATTCAAATCGATCTCAGACTCAAGACAGATTTTTCTCGATCTTTGAAATCAAACTCAAGTTAACATGTCTCTGCAACATCACAACCCACACAAACTCAAATATTATCCATCGATCTTGTGAAAAGGATAATCCAGCTTGAGAAAAATCACACCAAAAAGCTCGAACGAACACGATTAGGAAGAGATTGAAATACAATCAAGCTGAACCAAAGAGAGGCAGATGTATCATACAAGTTAAGGACAAACTTGGTTCGCCCAAAACCGGATAAAACTGCCAATTGGTACTTCGAAGTTGATGGTTTACGCTCCCAGCAAATAAAATCCGAGGTTTATGGAGACATTCCATCATACACGAGTCATTTCAATTTCAAGTAGACCAAAGCAATAGACTCAACAACCAGAAGCTCCAAACTCAATCACATCTCTTACTGCATCAAATTTGCTGAACAATCAATCATAATGTCTTTAAAAACAAGAAATGCGAATTGAAAACCTTCCTATTGAACAAAATATGGAGATGTACTTGAAATACTTCCAACATCAGAAGAAGAATGTCAACACGAAAATTAAAATGAAAGGTATAGAAGAAGAATGGGGACTTGAAAATTAAAAAGGGAAGTATTTGAATCTGAGATATTAGTCAACAGGACCTTGTGCAATTTTGTTTTAATCAATCGAATCTCATGGAATCGATCAGGACTACAATAACTTTATGTCAACATTTATTCATCATAATTATGTCAGATACTTCCAAAACTTTTCATCCAAGAAATTTTGGGATATGAGATTTCTTCTTCAAGATCCAAAACATTTGGTATCATTGAATTAAGTTACAAAATCTGGTGATCAATCAAGGTGCTTATCCCTTCAAGGAGGCCTTCGGTTTGTGATTTACAAACATATGGATATTATGTAGCTTTTTCTGAACTCGATTTTAATCAAAACCGTTGTTATAAGATTATTTGGAGCCATCAAATCTATCAAAGAGATGCCCCAAAACATTAATCTTATTTGATTGATTATCAAAATGAACCTTGCAATGACCTTCACTTATCTCAAATCAAATTACACAAGCACCGGTTTTCCTCAATCAAAATGAATCTTTGCAGTCAATCAATCTTAAGCTTGGTACCTGAGCAAAGCCATTTATTTACTCCATCACAACTAATCTCTCTACTTGATCATAATACAATTTTCAATCGATCAGAACCAGGCTTTTTGTTCAAATACTCTTTACTCGATAAAAATCATGTTACTGGCTGATTCAAAACCGGTGTTTCCACTCGATCCCAATCAATCTTTTGACTGGAGCAACGTAAAGGTTATCACTTGATGCGACTCTTTTATTTAGTCCAGGAAAAATGTTCTGTCAACTTGATCAAAATCAAAATTTCACTCAATCAAAACTGTCTTATTCACTCAATGTAATTGACTCTTGACTTGATCAAATCTATCTGATTCAATCACTCAAAATCTATCTCCGTAGTCAATAAAACTCCATCTGTCCACTCAATTCAAATTAAAAAATTTACTCGATCAAAACCCATCTATTTACAAAGTCACAATGATCATGTTTATTTGATCCAAAGTGTTATGTTACTTAATTGACTTGAAGAGCATCTAAATAATTCACAAGAGGACAATGGTGATCAATGTCTCACAATAGTCAGGATGGATTTCAGCACTAAAAAGCAGTAGGCATGTTGTACTGTCTTCATGTATGGGTTTGAAAGTTGCTAATTACAATGCTCATTTCATATTCAACTTTTACAAGGAATTTTTTCAGTTAATTGGAACATGTAAGATGGGACTTCTCATCAATTTCATATATTTTAGATCCATCCACTGGCTCTGAGTGAACTCTTGCTATGATTTATACCTCAATTGATGAACCCGAGTTACTGAGCAATATCTTTAAATCAACAAAAA